TGAACAGTCGAGTATGAGGAAAGCTGTTTTCTGTTTTCTTTTTGGAGCTGCTTACTCACTCCGTCAACGGATGGCAGGAGACTGCTTGGTCAAACACGCCATTTCTAAATAAACTTCAATCAAAAATGGGAACATGTGATGGATAGGCGTCGTTAAACCTAAAACTGGCCTAACTCTTTGAGGAAAGCCGATGATTATGGCAATGCTGATGTGCTGAAGGCCAGAATCTTCCTGCCCAAGAGATTAACACTGATTAAAGAAACTTACTGTAAGAGCTTCTTATTAACGCAGTTACAGCTTACGTCTGATCGGCATTACTTAGTCATTCGCCCTCTGCTTTAACAATTCAACTTGACCGCAACATCGCCCTCCCTGCTTTCACTCTCAGCCATTTTTTGCGCGTTGTATTCAAGGCCCTGAGTAATCAGTAAGAACCTCTGAAACGTCGGTGTTTTTTCTACGACACTACACGGCGCTGCTTCCGCAAAATCGCGGTTATCTCGACCGGAAATGATTCACTTCCTAGTGCTTTTCGAAGGTAACAATTTGTGATTATACAGTCCTGAACAATCAAAAAAACAAACAAACAAACAAACAAACCATCGATTTTCCTTGTCTTTGCAACATTTGACACTTAAGTCGGTTTTCCCATTGCAACGTCCACCGATCACGAAGATCGTGTCGTCGATGACTTCTGCGTTGAAGTTTCTTATATTGAAGCTCATGCCAGGGATCACGGTCCACGTGTCTTCTGCAGAGTCATACTTTTCTGTACTGAGATCGTCTAAGATCCTGTTGTATCCTCCTGCACACACACACATACACATATTTCGTAATTGGTCACAATATATAAAAAAAAGCTGTCCGAAGGAAATTATTCTAACCCCATTCAGCGGGGACTTTCTAGATATTTATTACTCTGTCACCTGGTCACGAAATGTTTAGCCTTTATGGATCCAGAAGATTTATTACCTTATTCATTAAAGTCGGTAGTTGAACAATTCCAACATACTCTAGATCCTTAAAAACATTTTAATATTATCCTTCCTCTTAAGACTATGTATCACCAGTGCTATCTTACCATCAACATCACCAATTATAACTTTCTAGATGTTTGTATTAATCGTAACTTCAATGCTTCACACTCCCAGCGTCTTACCCAACGGACTTTACGCTCTTAAAATTTGTAATTCCGTAAACGGAACGAATGAATGAATGAAATACAACGAATAAAATTCATTCCCTCTTGAAGTATTAATATTAGTACCAGGAACGAAATTAATGATGAAATAGCTCCAATATTATTTTCGTACTTGTATCATCAGGAAATTGCGCCTGTCATCTGTTTTCTACTTCATGAAACTGCGTTTGAAAATAGCCTTCAAAAACAACACAAGATGCACTGTTCAAAATGGCGTTAGAAAACAAGTGACGAAACACAAGACTGCGAAGGGACTGCTTTAAACCATCGGCTTTTTGGGGATAACAGCACGGCAAACTGAAATTTCCTTGCTACAAGAACGAAATATTTACCTGTAAAACTGCGACTGTGTGAAAAATGGGGCATGCGTTAGTTGAGATACCACAAGAGATTGTGCGTTGTTAGTTAGTTAGTTAGTTAAGTGTTCTTTGTGGAGAATGTAATCGAAACCACGAATCGGGGTTAAAATTACTGACAAACTAACTCTGTGA